AGATACCAGTATTAATATGGGGATACAAGTAGGTAATGGTTCCAAGTATCAGGGCATTTTGTACGAGTGTGCGTACTAAATGTTTTGGTAGTGGGCTCGATGCCAGAACACCACTAGTATTTAGGATAAGAAATGTTATCGGACGAATGCTCCACATTGGATTTTAATATTATTAATACTACTTTCATCAAATACATCTTGAGTGGTGAAGTGTACTACTTTGATCAGAAAACAATTTATATAGACAAGTAGCCATCAACGTGCAAGTTTTTAACATTACAGCTGATAGATACACTTTTGTGTTGTTACATATTCTTCAAATCAACTGTTAAAAATTGATTTACACCATGAACAACGTTACTATCAGTGAAACTAACCTGTCACCCCATCACAGTCATGTATATACGTACATAACAGACTCACATGTTTGTTGTGCGAGATAATTCATGTTCAGGGGTTTTGGTTATTTGACAGTTTACTGACAGGTGTATTATGTACTGTACTTGGTTAATTAAAGTTGCATAAACTGTAGTATGTAAGACACTATTGCACTTATTAGGATTTCCCACTGCAAATATCAAAAGTTTAGCACAGTTTGCCTGAATTTTCAGAGTCCTTTCAAGACTTCATTAAAAACACTATTTGTAACATTTACATTTTTGAGAGAGGAAACAGTACCTGTAAATTTTCCAACAATGAAGAAGAGAGGTGTGCAAGGTGATGCTGTTTACAAAGCTTTAGTAAAACATTGGTTGTGCTTGTTGCACTGCTTCATTATGTAGACCAGGGGTTCTTAAACCTTTTAACCCCGGGGCCCAATTTGTTGAACATAAAGTGACACGAGGCCCAGTCAGACATTATCAATGTATGGATAGAAATAATAATTATTTATTATTAAATTTATTATTCTATTCTAAATATTGGTTTAATTTTTATTGTATTTACATCATAACTAAACTATCATAACTTACATAACTAAATTAAAAACACTTACAGTTTAAAAGTAAAACTCCTGTTAAATAATCACAAGACATGATTATGACAAACATTTTTTATATTGTAACCTGTCCATAACAATGAACCACCAGAAGCTGCTCTTCATATTAGTGACAAACAATAACAGTAACAACAGCTTTTTGACAAGTTAAACTTTTTTAAAAATACATTCAAAATGTTTAAATATAAACTACAAAAATTAATTTAAAGTGCAACTTAAAATACAGTTGTATCTGCAACTGTATTTTATAATGTTTTGAACTTTTAAAATATTGCATTGTAAAAACAGAAGCTGTACTTCATATTAGTGACAAACTTTGGTGTTTTTTGATGGGTTACCTTTATTTTTGCTTCTACTTTTCATTTAAAATAAGTTTCCATTCTTAGCAGGTTTCTAAGGTTCTCCTTCTACATATTAAAAAAAGTTGTTAAACATCTGGGTGGCACACTACTGCTACTAGTGGTGAGGAAGTGTATTGCAACTTGTTCAAAATCAATTTGGTCCCACAGCCCTCCAAGTACACTTCGCTGCAGCATGCAGCTCGGGGCGGTGACAGACCTTTCCGTCAGTCCCATACCTTATATGGAAA